GATCAGGATTCTTCTTCGCTTTGATATCACTTTTGGCAAGACTTACTCGACCGCTAATGATCTTAGATCCTCATCTAATGAAATATATGTATCCGCTTCATTGATAACGCATTTAATCATTTGCCTACGTGATTTTTGGGCGGACGCACAAACGGGCATACAAACGGACACACAAAGTTAGCGGTTTATATATATCATGGATATGAATCACTCATCAGAAAACTCTCTCTGGTCTCCATTTGTTCAACAGACCTTCACTCATGGCACCGTGTCAAACTGACTACATATTTTCTGCCGACTAGTCCACTATCATAGATGTGGCCCTGAGAAGTATTTATCTGACTCTGAACCTACATTTTTAATCACATGCATGATTTTCAAATTCAAAAATCTTTGGGAAATACTGGGTTCCTTGCAAAGTTCTCGCCGAATTATTGGGCACTTGGTTTATCAGCTGTTTTATGAAAAGTTCGATACAACCTGACCAAATTATCCAATTTTGAAAAAGATTAACATTACCCTATGTTTCAGTTTAAAGTATGCTAGTATTTCTAGAAATCGGTTTGCGTAGAGCAAGTGTGAAAGTGGAGGACCATCAAGAACATTTTCGCCGAGTAAGGTTATTTTCTGCTTCTGCAATAGCGAGAGTGCAGCTCAAACTGGTAATAAGATGTGCTTTGTTTACGAAAATCATGCTCTACCAAAACGCATAGAGCATGAGTGATTTGCGAAATTCACACAGGGTGAAAACACTCTCAAAGTTCGGCAAGTTGATAACGACACATCAAAATATTAATGGCAACGAATATGCACGGAAACGATTCGCACAACTCGCGAAGTAGGGGAAAGGCTCATGTGTCAAATTCGGCTAGTTGCGACCGTTTGGTCTTGTAGATTTGAGTTTGATGATGTCCTAATGATCGGGTGCCTCACAAACTGAGCGAGCTTAGCCTGTCAGGCCACATTTCCGTGTGCAACAAACGTTTTCGCTGCTCAAACCTAAGGTTCAGCAATATCTGAAACGTATAGTAGCGGCTTATGAGATTGTGTACACCAAAGGAGAGAAGAAACTCTTGCACAGGGATCTCAGTGAATGGCGACCAATCAATCAATCCGAAAATCGAAGCTAATGCTGAAAATGGTGCTTGTTGTTGGTGGGACTGGTAAGGAACTATTCATGGCCGGCTGTTACTGCACAGCCATACATCATTCCTAAAAGATACGTTCTCACACCAGACTAGCCAATTGAGAAGGAGTGGTCCTCCTACAGGGTAACGCCAGACAGACTGAACATATCTTTGAAAACTCGTCTAAAATTACTTTGGTTTGGATGGTATTTTTCACGTCACCCATTTAGTCCGCGTATAGCAATGGCAAGTCCTCTGCCTATTTCGTTTCGTGGAAAATCGTTTGATCCTCCGGAAGACCGCAAAGCACAGAATGGGAACCATCATGAGCATAACTTGTAAGGTGAATGGATCCTTTTCTGAAAAATTTTTACTCATAAACCGCTTCAGAAATCGGCGATAACTTTCAGAGCAGCCCCATGATATATGGTCAGATAGTTTTTTTTCCAAAGGTGGCATGCTCAGAAGAGTATAACTGTTCCTAAATTGCCTCGAAACTCAAGGAACACCCAGGCTTGACAGATTATTGCATATGGTAAAAGAGCGTTTTCACTTTATTTGTTAAGAATTACAATGAAAGTTATATGGTGGAAAAAAGACAACCTGTGAAGGCGAGAGATGAGAACAATGAACCGAGATTTCGAGGCGGCAAGGAAGAAGTTTTACAGAATTTAATGATTCAATCAGATCGATGATAACGTGGAAAGACGATTGTACGTAACATTTTCTGAATAATTTGATATACAAGTTTTCACGGGCTTCGCTCCATTTAACGTCTTCGATTGAAGCGATGTGTCACAATTGGCTGTAATCTCGTTTGGTATGGTACGGTGAGCGGAACTCCTTGCAAGCGCCCATAGGGATCAACTGGAATACCTGAACGAAGAATTCTATTCAGTAGAGTGGCCTTAGTTAGGGGCTGTAAAGAAAGTGTTACCAGAGGCATCGACAAACTGTCCCGTTGGGAATGCTCTGAACCCCTCGTTGCGGATCTGCACTGGATTAAGACCAGCAGCCAACCCGTATCCCTGAAATGGGAATCGATTTGGCTCCAACCAACCAGCCCATACTCCGATTCTCTTTTGATGATGACGGTAAAGGACCATAAAACCATCACCAACCCGAATTTGATCGGTTATTCCGTACGGTTGGCGAAACTTAGAACCGTATTCGTCACTTTGGCAACTGCACTCCATCGAATTGGCCGATTGAATCAGTTGAGCTGCAAATCGCTGTTTACTTCATGAATATGCTTGAATTGTTTGAAACTATGGTTGCCTCAGAATTGAATCTATTAAATTAAGGCAAAATTGGCCAACGATGGGTTGCGTCATTTCGACGCAATGGTACCATCTTCGGCAGCAACTCGCTTTGGAAATTAACCCCGAGTATCCTTCTGCTAAGTTTCTGCACATGTCCTGAAGGTATATTCAAGTGGGCCCGAGATCTTTTGAATGAACAATTCAAGATTTTTTGCCAAATAGGTTAGGATTTATAAAGTTATCTCTGCTCAATCAGTTTTGCCTTGTTGCTGAACTCGTTGGTGCACTCCTACTTCAGATTAAGGCTCCTTGTGTGACCTATTCTCAACAAAGTAGCGTTGCACTGCATTCCTGGGCAATCAACAACACTTTAAATTAGCTGTCTAATTAGCAGCCGTGGCGCTGACGGAGTTCGAGGAGTTCCCGACGTTTCAAGTACAGGGGAAGTCAACCTGAACTCTAAATAGCACATGGCAATGAGAACTCCGTTGTTATAATAAATGAAAGGATTACATATCAAGTGACGTGTGCGAGTTGGGAGAGCGGCGTAATTGCTACCACTGTCAGTCGCTTGCGGATAAAAATTGCAGCAACATATGCACCATTTCAAGGCACCCTTCGCGTTAAAAAATAGTTTTCTAGATTCTTCCCTTTTACGAAATTGTGTCTCCCAAAGATGGCCTAAGAGACGGCATTGGGTAGAAAATGGTCTAAACAGAGCGCAAAAAAGATCCCATAACCGGCCTAGCCGACGTACACACCCAATTTGGACGAATTCTCATGCGCTGTATAAGCTGTAAGCATGCACTATTCGCAATGGTACCTACACCTTGCACACAGGTTGGTTACATTCTACAGTCAGCTGTATGGATAGCGTGTACATTTGAACAGCTCGTCTAAATACCCTATACAATACCGATTCTCGGCCATCCCCTTATTAAACTTTTCTTTTGAAGCCTTTAGCCATTTTTGCACTGTTCTAGACTAGCACTTTCATTTCGTTCATAAATAGAAATGTCGATAGCCCTGAAATTATCGTTCACTGTGCCTTCCAGCTCCTATGCAAAATTTGTCTAGACAGAAAACGTTTACAGACGGATTTTTGGCTGAGCTTGTTGCTTGCCAACAGAGAACTACATATCGGGCCCCTCACTCTCCCGTTTAGAGGGTTGTTAGCAGGACTGGAGCGTAGTCCACGTACTGGAGGGTACATGCAATGAAATTACTTTGAAACTATCAAATCTGAAAATATAAAACTGTTTCATAGTAGTTAAGCAGAGGGGTAGCCAAAGACGTGGTACAAAAAGCATATTTTGGGAATGAGCCTTTCTCTGACGAGCCTTATGAGGGCGCCTCGAGGATCTCTCCACCGTGAGTTAGTGCGAATCACCTATGAAATTTCTACATTCAGATGATGACTTGGAAGAAGAACTTCTTGAGGGCTTCCTGTTCCTGCTAGGGACAAGGATTTTGCCTAAACAGAAGATAATACCCCTTTAAACAAACAAGGCATTGGATCTGTAGATAGATAAAGCTCCATCGCATTTTTCACAGTCAAGGTCAGAAATAGTGTGATACGGCAATTCTAAATTGCGAATAAGTTTGAAAGCATCCAAACGCACTTACTGAACAGCTCAATTCCATTTTTATTCTGGTTTGATCGATTGATAGTCTCCTGCTGACGACGTACTTGCTCCTAAATGTAGTGTATGGAGATTGTTACTACGTTCTGGTTACGGTTGGTTTTGATTTCTCTGATCTGTGAATGACAAGACTCAGAATGTAGATATATGTATGTATGTACATTCACTAAGAAATGATAAAAATGTTCAGAGATTTTTTGAAAAGTAGCTTAAGAGGAAAGGTGAAGAAATAGTTGATCATCTGGCTTTGATCATGGGTAACTGCTCAAAAGGAAGGTCGAGAGAGTGAACGTCGGGCTAGGGGTGAGGAAGGTAGGAACCAAGTAAATTGAACTTGACTTGATTCCACCTTTTGCAATCATAGTTCCTGGAAAAAAAGCTGATTTTAAAATAGAGAGAAAGGTAGAGCAGTGTGCTAACGAAAAGGATCGCTACCTCCGAAACACATCATAGTAACAACAACTTATGCTTCATAAACATCTCAAGAGCTTTCCAAGACCGCTTTTGAAGGAGCCAACTTCATAATCAAAGCTCTTTTAATGTCGCATCCTCCAGGCTGCTTCCATGCCCGTGAAACCACTTAATCATTCTGACTATATCGGACTGTTTTCCCTTAATATTTCTCAAGTAGCCATGCTCAGAGTTTACCAGCGGGTCATCTCGAGGGTAAAAAAATATAAAAATGTCGTTTGTGAATTTGATTCCTGTTCTGTCAACGCTAGTGTTACAGTGCTTCTGTTGATTGCACTGTCTACAAATAATTGACCACGTCCTAAATGATGTTATACTGGTTGGATCGCCTAACCTACGCCGAGTTTTGCTCCTTCTCTTTATAGAACCAGATTGCTGGCTTGACATCCTCCTTCTCTTTTCGGAACACATGAGATTTATAGCCACAAATTCTGGAAGGGGAATTTTTGAAGGAGCTTACAATCGGGCGGGCACCACAAATCCCAAACGCACGCATGCACTCATCACTTGCACTCAAAAAATCGCCATCTGTCACCCTTGCTTTCAACAGCAACCAGTAGGAACTGTATCCTTCCCTTCATTGCCTTTACTGACGTAGTTTTTTCTGCAACAGGGCAACATTTCTGATCAACCGAACACTTGACAGCACATTTTACAATGAAAATGGTTACCGGGAACAGCATAGATAAGGCGTTATAAGGGCTTGGAGTTGGGCGTTGTAGAGGCTGCACCATCTCGAGGGGCTCCCATGTTGGAAATTTAAAGAGACAGTAAAAGCCAGTTCTGAACATTGTAAACTTATATAGGCTAGCTCCTTGCGCAAGCTCAACAACTGAAAATACCTCCCTCATGCCATTCCCATCAAGGTTATCTCGTGCAACCTCTATTTCCATTACGTATCTGACCGTTTTATCACAAATTCTACCTTGTGCCCGTTTTTTTTTTGGGAAAATTCAAAGAAGTACTAAAGAAGCACTTCATGAGGCATGGCTAGTGTTACACACATCTGCACATGACGGTCGGCACAAAGTGGCCTTTCTTCGGTCGCTCACCCTCAAAGCAGCCTGTAGTAGCTCATGCAGTCTGGCTGAAAATTTCAGCTGCTTAAAGGCACAGCTTCCGATAAAAAAGGCTTCTGAGTTCTCCTCCTACGAATCCCCAGTGGCCCCCAAGTGTAACAGGAAGCAAGCTGTCGAACCCTATACTCAACAGCTAGGGCATAGTGATAGCCCCATTGCCGGATCGTCCAGACTTCCCTCCCCTTGATCGATGTCTCGTCAGTCGAGTGTCCAGGCGATACAGATTGCAATATTCGCTCTAGGATACACACAGAATCAGCTGACTGCCGAGGAAAGAGGTGACATTTCCGTGATATTCCTTTATTCTCTGTTATTCTTTCTGCTGCTGCGATCCCTCATTCAATTTTCTACTACAAGAGGCTAAAAAAGGTGTGCTATTTTTGCTGTTACTAGGGCGTTTTGTTAACTTATGCTTATGAGTGAATGAATTTTGCTCATCGTATGTACTCAGCCATTCGCCCCAAGACCCACACGGACGCAATGACACCATTATATAGCTCGTCTAAGCGCCCCATTCTCCATTTTTCTAGTCTCATTCTCGTCCAGCCCCGATTTTAACGATTTTTCGAAGCCTTTTTTCCTCTCCGGAAATACCGAATCACGCAATTTCTCCGCCTTCAGCGCATTATTTTCCATCTTATCTTCCATTTTTCGTCATAATCTGGATTACCC